TATATATATATACATACATACATACATACATACATGTACACTTTAGAAATATCTATATATATATATGTAAATACAAGCATATGGTTAAAGATTACTGGAATGGTAATCAGTGAAATTATACCCTTCTCTCTAATATTCTCAACAGTAAGCAGCTGCACTTGGTCCAGCAAACACCTATTTATTTTGATCAAAGAGACAAGATTGTTATTAAAAAAGCCAACTCTCAAAAAGTCACTTCCTTTATCTACCAAACCCTCTTTCATTGGCCTTCTGTTCACTAGGGCACTGAAATTTGGGGGAAACACCTTACCACTTCTATGTCCTTCTTCAGCTGGAGATTATGGCTTTCTATGCTCCCAATAGATGATATCTTGAAAATGAAAGGACTAAGGGGACCATCTGTCTGTCTTTTGTGCCTTGTGGAGGAGGAGACCTTGGATCACCTCTTCTTTAATTATAACTTCTCTCAAAAAGTTTGGACTGATTTATTGCTCAAGTTCAAAATTGATACACTGAATCTCAGCTGGATCAACTTCTTTAACTGCTGGGAAGAGTGGAAACAGATCAATTTACAGGTTATTCCTTGTATAGTGGCTTGGTTTGTATGGATGTGCAGAAATAGTGTTAAATATGAAGGCTCTACCCCTCTTGCTAAAGCTGTGGCTACACATTGCACATCTTACCTACAGAAAATCATCAAATATCAAAGGTTCCCTAATATCTTCAGGAATTGGGTTCCTCAAGCTGATAATCAGTATAATTTTAGTTTCTCTTTGATTGAAAGGGCTCCTCCTCCTAATGGCTGGTTGAATAATTTCAGTTTCTCTTTGATTGAATGGGCTCCTCCTCCTGATGGTTGGTTAAAAGCTAACACTGATGGAAGTTTTCTAAAAGGATCTGCTGGTTGTGGTGGGGTTTTCAGAAACTCCCTTGGTCACCATGTTCTCCATTTCTCCTCACCAACTTGGGCTTTAGATGCTGCAGAAACTGAAATGATAGCTATTTACTGGGCTCTTAAAATTGTTGTCCAATGTAATATTGGACCTTTAATCATTGAAACTGACTCCAATGTTTGCACTAAATTTTTGCAGCACGAGGAAGACCCCCCCTTGGCACATTGGAAGATGGATAAGAAAAATTCCTAGGAAATTTGGCAGCTACCCTGTTAAATTTCAGTGTATTAACAGGAAAGGCAATGGACCTGCTCACCTTTTGCCTACTGCTGGTAGATGTTCTGAACAAATTATTGTGGCAAATTCTCCTTCCCCAGATTTAGCTTATCTACTGCATGGAGATAATTTATGCATACCTCAAGTTCACACATTCTGAAGAGGATTTTTTTTTTTTTTGGTGGTCACACTTTATAGTTGATTCTGATCTTGGTGGCTGTTTTGTTTTGTTTGCACCTTGCCGCTTCCCTTTTCTAGATGGTTTTGTGATATTTATTATAATAAGATGTTGTAATATCAATATGTTTTTTATTCACTTATGTGAAATTGAATGTGATTGTTTGATAATATATATATATATATATATATATATTATATCAAACAATCACATTCAATTTCACATAAGTGAATAAAAAACATATTGATATTACAACATCTTATTATAATAAATATCACAAAACCATCTAGAAGAAAATTAATAAACTGATTTATTTTTAGAGCTAAGATGTGTTTTCATCCATCTACTAATGCATAATAGACTGTGTAAGTATCTCTCTATAGTTATTTGTTGTTTTAACTTCCAAATTTGGAGTTAAATTTAATCTAAGGAGGATTTTAAGTTACTTTTTGATATTTTAAAATTTTATTTTAGTTTTAGAATTTGTTATTTCATTTTTTTTTAAGTATTTTAAAAATTATCATAAATGCACAACATTCACTGAGAGGAAAACCTTATCATTCATTATATCTTAAACATTGTGAACTTCATAATATCTTAAACATATATATATATATATCATGAATTTTAATTTATATGATTTTACTTGATATTTTTTTTTTATTTTTTTTTTTTGTGAAAAGCTGTGTTTTAAATTTTTTTTGTTATTGAAGGCAAAATTATGCTAATTTATTTTCCAATCAAATGATATCCAATTTTTATGAAGTTATATCTTAATGTTAAAAATGCATCTTGAATATCTCATCAAAAAAGAAAACATTTGATCTTCATTTAAATCTTATGCTATTTTTATAGTTATTTATTAGAGAGAATTCACCATGTCCAAATTAATCTTTAAATTTATGAAAAAAAATGCCAAAAAAAGAAAAAGATTGGAATCTTCCATAATTTAATTGAAACTAATTTAATTAATTTATCTTAAAAATATTATTTAATGGCGTTAATTTTATTTCCGTTCCAAACTAGCTCCATTTTCAAAAAAAAGATTAAAAGCCATCCAAAGAAGAATATTTTTTATGACCTATTTCTCATATTGAGAATGATGTCTGGAAGAGTTACGTATATTATACCACCCAATTCTTGCATATTTTTATAAAGAGCCTGAACTCTTATATTTGATCTATATAATATACAAAATTATAATATCAAATCAAAAATAATATTAATATTAGATTTTTTTAAATAAAATGTACATTTTCATGTGTTTGTTAGATACAATTATAATACTAAAATGTTAAATAAATATCGAATGTTCCATATAAATGTACAACCATTTAAGAATTGTTTGGCGTGTATGTAAATAGCCAATGACGTTTCCCGTAGATCATTGCAAGATTCAATAAACCCTTTTGCACCGTTAGTAGAATAGAGCAATAAATGATTAGCTATATAATCCTTAATCAAAGATGATATTTCACTTCATTCATTACATTTTGAAATAACTAGTTTTTCTCAAAGATTTTCATTATTGGAATATATTTACATTTATTATACTTCAACTTAACAATCCTTCACTCCTGCACATTACAACCAAATCACGTAGGCGTTCACATGCACATTACCCAATTCTCGTGTCTTTACACATCTAACAACAAGCCTTTGTAATTCATATATGTTAACCAAATCTTTGATAGCACATCAAAAATACCATCATTTTAACCATTAGAAGGTGAAATTAACATTTTCAAAATGATATGTATATAAAAATTGAAATATAGATATAGATTTTTTTTTTAACTTACGTCCCAGACGGCTACAAAGCAGCTCTGTTCTAGTCTCACAGATTTTATGTAGCATCAACACAAGACCAAATAATTATTGTTATGCAAAATGCCAAGAGGCATTGTGGCCGAAACCTTGAAACTTAACAGGTATCAATTTTTTTCACGTTTATTTTTTATTTCCTCTCACTCGACCTCTCCCTATCCCTCTCCCTCTCCCTCTCTCAATTGCACTCTTAAGTCCCAAGTTGTATGCTCTACTTTTCACAACTCATGAGAACAATCCCCACACGCTTGATAGCCAAGCCCACCTATTTCCACTATCCAACCAAAATATTCCTCACATATTACAAGCCTTTAGGCCACCATACTCTTGATCAAAGTCCAACAGCGCCCCAGCCCCATAGCAAGCAAAAAGTAAGTCGTTGATATCTCAAGTTCTTCCCACTACCATCCATTAACCAATGTTATGAACTTGCGTGTAAGAGCAAGGCAAGACAGAACAACAGAAGAGCGAGATGCCATCAACGAAAGGTATTATTTAGCAGGAGTGTAACAATATTGAATCGCAAGTAAAAATTAACTCTTACAAGATTTCCTCGTAGAAAAATATTTCCTGGGGCCAAGGCAATGAACAATAGCCTACCACTGCCTCTTCCCCTTTCGCTTCTTCTTGCTGCTGCTCTTAGAACCGCTGCGGCTACTGGAAGGACCCTCTTTGTGGATGGAGTCGGGTTCAAATCTTCCTGAATTCATGGCATTCTGCAACCATTCGTACAAGTCTTCCTCGGTCATGCTGTCACCCATGTTGGGAGATGGCATGCTTCCGCTGTCTCTATGAGATGAGCCGGACGCTTTGGAATTGACATTGTTTTTTGAAGATAAGCTGATGTTCACCTGGAAGCTAGGCTTGTGCGTGTTTGCAGGAACTCTTATTCTCTGGTGCAGAAAAAAGCATCAAAATCAGAAAAATGCTTGGATTACCAAAAAAAAGCTTATGAAATGATTAGGTAACTGTCACTTAAGACTCCCAATGGCACACTTGGCACAAAGTGATCATAGAAACCGGAATGTTCAAAGGTAAGAGGGCTTTGTATGCACATGAAAGGGCTTCAAAGCCTTGGAATTTATTCATGGCTCAGATTTTGGTTGCACCATGTGTTAGTCTTACATTACAAACCATTTCATAATTCTTCCCATCTATTCATACAATTTGAAAAATATGTAAGATATATATTCAAGCGAGTATTAGCTAAGTTATTTTCCCATACATTCTCATTATAATATTGATTATCGTAGCTTAAAATGGGAATATCGCTTCATATTTCTAGCAGACCAATGCCAACTAAAAGCATGGCCACCAAGTCTAGTTCAAATTCAGCGACGACCAAAAACATATTCTTCAACATTCGTGGCACAACCGTTCACACGAGAAAAGAAGCCATAGCTATCTCAGTCGGGCAATGAGTTCAATGATTGGATTTCACGATAGAAGTCTCATTTTCTCTTCGTGATGAACGAAAGTAATTGCATTTAGCCTGAAAGCTGAGCCAATAATAAAAGATAAAACAAAAATTTAAAAACCAAGGATTAAAAAGAAAAAGCTATAACAAAACCTTGATTACAAACCTTCCAATATGTACAAATTCATTAAAAAACAATGCTATTTTATGACTACAAACCAAGCGAGGAAATCAGGAGAACAACTTGAGCTTCTAAGCTTCAAATTTAGCAAATTCAGTTTAAGAAGTAATATAATTTAAATAATGAAATGTCATGGTGATTAAGCCTGGGTAAATTCATGGTTCTCACCGTTTAACATTATTTAATTTATAGCGCATGCAAATACAATAAATATCTACATTTTGTTTTGTTATTCAAATAAATATTTATGCATAATATGGCTGTTATGATATTTGGGGGGATATTTATATGATAAACCTAAAAAAATAGATCTCATTGGCTAAAATATTATGAGATAATTCTTATAAAAGAGCAAGATAAACCCATAAATATGACTAATTAGTACCCTAGGAGCTAGTCCTTCAGATGAACAAAGTGAGATATGGGAAAATGATCAATTGTAAATTTATTTAACTATGAACAATAATTTTTGAAAATATAAAATGGCAATCACATTAAATCACACAAGGCAAGATATAGAATTTTCAACTTTAATTATATTCCCTACTTAGAAATTCAATCCTCAATGCATGGATGGATCCCCACTCAAGCAAATTTATATACCTTTTCTCTTCCTATCCTAACAAGTTCTTAGAAAAAAGTAAAAAAAAAAGATTTGCTAAATGATATTTTTAATAAGATTAATGTCATCAAGAAATTTATATGATCAAACGCAAATCACAATACATTTTAGACAAGAAATCTTTCATATTCAAATTTAATATCATCCAAACTTTAATTTCAACAAACTTATAATTAAATTGAATATCTCACAATATGAACCCAATGATTTTGAAAATAATTTCAAGTCCAAATAAGCTCATATCAAAACTTGAACTGCAATCAGAATTTTTTGAGCATTAATTGAAAGGCTAGACAATCTCTAAATTTGACATGCTTATAGTCGAATCAAGCAGCTCGACGAGAATAATTAAATTAGCCCGAGAACATTTAATTTTGAGATGTTAAGACACTTAAGCACTGAAAAAAAGGTTTGTGCATAAATGAATAAACATGGACAGTTAGATAAGGAGCTTTTGGAGGTTCACCAAATTTACTAAAATACCCTTGTAAAGAAATAAAAATAGCCCCCAGTTTCCAAATGAAGGTAGAGGGGGAGAGTGAGTTGACACCTAAGGCATAAATTTTGAAAAAAATACATGTGAAAGACCATCAGTCATTAGCAGTGATTATTATAACCCAAATACGGTTATTGTAGCCAATAACCACTATTATTGTAGCCTAACTATAATTGTTTGTCAAATTATTACTACATAAGACATAATTGTGATTGTCGATTTTTGTAATCTCATATTCTCTATTTTAAATTAAGAACAGATATCTATACTTTCAATTTCCTAGTAGATTACTTTGACTGGATCAAACTCTGTAGATTTTCCCCTTTCCTCTGTTTTATCACATAAATAATCTAACTCCCTTTTACATTTCTATTTGTATGTGTGCTGAAAAATGATATTGAGCTAAGCCTTAGAATTTCTGTAAAATTGAGAATTATCTAGCACGCAATTATTTGGGGACATTTGTAGAAAATCACCCCATCTCTGCAAGCTTCACAAAAATTCTTGTGATCAACAATAGGCATAAAACTTGTAATAATAGTCTCATATTCAAACAAAAAGTTTATGCTAAGAACATTAGATTTCTACTCCTTTCGTTCCAAACAAACATAAGGCTAATGAAGAAAGACACAACAGATCAGATCTATGATCATTTCCTCCCGAACAGGTATAATCATAATAGCGAGACACATTAAATTCATCATTAAAAAAGTGTGTCCATGCCTAACTTATTATAAGGTCAAATTTTTCATTCAACAGGACAAGTTATCCACCACTTAGATATCACCAATTTTACACATCCGTCCAGGGTAACCTAGTTAGTACCATCAAATATTCATTGCAACTATAAACTTAAGAAGTCATTCACATCAACTTTTTGGACCTGAAAGGAACAAATCTTTTATTTTGTACATATTAGTTTATAATCTCATGAGAAAAGGTTGGAGATAACTCCCTGCTAAAACCTGAAAAAAATCATTCACATTAAAGTCCCAGGCACGATAATAGCAGGGCAGTCCAATTTACACCATCAGATCATTTTTAAGGAAAGAAAGACTTAATTGAAGGGCAACCGCAATTGTAAGGACAAAAGTCCTAAGCACAGTTGCAGCCAATTCTCTATCTTCTATTATCCATCGATCATCGAGTCAAGCAAATTAGAATTGAGTGACAACCTTAATGGAAGCCTCATAGAGACATCAATATAGTCAAGAAAATCCTTTCATTTAAAGTTTCATCCATATTTTCAAGCAACAATCAATATTTTTTGGTAAAACATTATATTATGTAAGTCTCAAATGATCTTCAATATTGACATAAATTCCTCAACAGGACATCTACTCTTTAGATGATGGCAATCATGACCTTGAAAAGGTAGTATCAGTCTAAACATAGACCAATATTCACCTTTTGTTTGCACATGGTTATCGCCCTTCTCAATCAAGATACAATAGATCCCAAGGAATTCGATTCAACCACTTCCGCATAGATTAACATTGTTTAGTAATACTCCGACAAACAATCTCATGAATTTCTCATGATCTCTTCTTTACAAGTTAAAATTATCGGGTAACACTCCAATAAATAACTTCAACTAGATCAACATTCTTAGTAATTTTCCTTTAACCTTCTCAAAACAGGCTAATGTTATCAAGTAACATTCTGACAAACAAGCTTGATTAGATCGAACAACCTTGATAGATTTACATTAACCACTTTAATGTTTAAGTAGCACCCTACCAAACATTTTGGATAGGTCAAACATTCTTAACTGATTTTCATCAAGCTCTTACATGCAAGGCAGCATTGACGAGCAACTCTTTAACGAAACCAATTTTACTCGTCCATCCAACACAGGCCCAGATGCTGCCTAGCCTATACTATTGGACCATTGACATCTACGCATCATCTAAATATCAGAAGGCACATGGTTCTACTATCTCCTATAAAAACTTGGACTTAGATCAGAGTTTAAAAAAACACTTGAGGGCTAAAGAACTTCAAAACTTCAATGTTCCACCTTCTGGCTATCACTGCCTACAATAATATCATCAGATGATAATTGCTAAATTGTCATTAATATCGATGCCCAACAACTTCAGACTATCACTATCTTTAAATTATCATCGAACTACAATTATCAAACCAATACCATCGTTGAATTAAACATCGTCAATCTACCACCATTTAACCATCTTTATCTAGACATCTCTGATGCTTGCTGACCATATTACCTATCATTACCACAGTCAATGCTCGCAAATATTATTACTCTTCATCATCCATAAAGTTGATGAATATCATTGATGTCTAGCTTCATCTATAAACACCATTAATGTACACCATTACTTATCAAACCAGTGCGTGCCATCGATAGACAACATTATCTCTTATAATAATCTTAGAAGGCACGCTTATGAGGAAACTTCAATGGGAAACTAATAGTTAGCAGGGTCCTCACAAGATCTCATAAGAGCAAATGATTAAAGAGTCTCGACTCATACCCCAAGAAAACACACTCATGATGAAGCATTGATGGGAAGCTAATTATAAACAAAATTCTCCTTACAAAAATTCTATGAGAGTAAGTGATTAACATTCTTCAATCAAAAATCTCATAATTTTAATGCAACAGAAGATACGGATACATCAAAAATCTCAGAAGACTAATCTCCTAGAAGGTATATAGATATAGAAAAATATCTCAAAAAGTTAATGCCTTGGAGGGTATGGGTATATTAAAATCTTCAGAGAACAAATATCATGGAAGAGTTCAAAGTCAATATGCTCCTACTAGGGGAAAATACCTTAATCAAAGTATACTTGATTTTCAATAGAGCTTAGGTATGGAATTATTTTGTGAAAGAACTCTTCCATTTCATTAACACAGGCTTATATAGAGCCTTACAACATTTACAAATAAATCCCTAGACTTCTTTTATTTACAAATATAACCCTACATGAGATACAAATCTCAACACTCCCCCTCGAGATGGGCAAAAGATATCAACTAAGCCCATCTTGTCACACAACCTGGACAAATCTATTGAGCCAAGTCCTTTGGTGAGGCAGACAGCCAGTTGCTCTCTAGTGGCTACATGCTTAGCTCCATTAGACCGTCAATTCTACTTTTCCTTAATGAAGAACCTATCAATCTCCACATGTTCGGTTCTATCA